ACAGAGAGAGAGAGAGAGAGAGAGAGAGAGAGAGAGAGAGAGAGAGAGAGAGAGAGACCACCACATCATTCAGAGATAGACACCCGTTTCATTGAGATAATATTCTCAATCGACACAGATTTGGCTATTTACCTGTATCGGTAAGTCATCCTCGGTAGTTGAAGCGTGACCGGTCCCCGTAGTCGACCAGTCAAAACGATAAATATCCACTTGAAATCACAATAACACAGGCTGCAACGTTAGCACACTTCATCGTTTAAACATCAAGGAAATACCTCACTTGACAATCCATTTGAAAATGACTCACCGAGTACTTTTAAGCTATGGTATGTCGAGAAATCGTTTAATCGCTGCCAGATGACGCACCGTCCGGAAAAATCCAACAATAACAGTTATGAAAAAGTTCAACAAAGCATGACTGCAGTCATCCAGATCTGAACTCCATCACCACAACAATAGACTAGAACTGGTGAACTATTGAATTGGATCACGTGCTTGAAGCTATAAAAAAGTTGTGCTTTTAATATTTGATTTTAAAAAACAACAAACCTACTCAACACCAGGACACTGTATTGTAACAGATATCACATCACTATAACCCAAACCACAGGTACACAATTAATTACTACGCCAATGGCTTTTTCGGAAATAAAATTAGAAAAACAAGCAAACTATAAGGGCCTGTACTTTAAGGGCCTGTAAAAACTACAGAAACATCTCTGAAATGTTATAAGTCGAATATCAGAACACACACGTTATCAAACCACAGAGAGTTACGACGACCAAAAATAAAAAGTACTTACTCCATCACGTAGGTAAGTGTATAATTTATAGATCGATGTAATTTACGCTACTACTCGGAACCAATGGAACACGTGAAACGATTTTAAAAGATAACAAGGAATTGCTGCTGTTAGATCAACACAAAACTAAATCGCGCACCAATCAACAGCAAGATAAGACTAAAAACAATGGGACACATTTCTAGTATGGAAAACGAGCTTGAATGAAACACCTTAATATTATCCGTACTTCGTCGATCTTCCAACCGAAGAGGAATGAAGAGGAACTTCATACCACGCGGGTCAAGGGGGACGAGGTCCAAGTGCTTGCGAGCGCTCAATGCTGGGCTGTGGCCGGACCAAGCAGCCCCCAGTTACTGTAGGTCGGGAAAGTACTTCACACACACACACACACAGGGACACAAACACTCGTACGTACACTGTAAGTCGCGCATAGTACGCGCGGATTGCGGCCGCCTCACCCTTTGACACTTGACTGACAACACCGCGAACCATCACCCGCCTAATAAGTGTCAGGGCTGCATGAGGGCCGCGCATCTCTCTCTCTCTCTCTCTCTCTCTCTCTCT